TTCGCAAGCTGTCATTTTATTATCTTTATTTATTTTCAAATTTATATATGCCGCCCATCTCGCTGGCATCAACAGATTCTGTCCCCAACACCGGGTGGTAGAGCTTTGCAGGAATCTAAACCTCAGGTTTATAGTAACCACAGAACTGATTCGGGGGGAGGGGGGGGAGAGCATCTGCACTTTCCCCTCTCAACTATTCTCTCCTAACCAGCATAACTGAGACTGGGCAAGACAGGGAAATCCTCTGTGCTCTGACGGGGGGCGGGGGGGCTCGCTTCATGCTGGGAGTCAACTGTACAGCTTCCTCCATCCCAACGAAGACGGAGACTGTAAGCTTGCAGCTTTTCCCCAAAGCGTGGGTAGATGCGCCAAGGAGCCAAAGAAAACTGCAGGGACTCCCGGGGCTTACAGATGACCCCTCCAGTGGACGGCTCCTGCTTTCACAGAAGTTTACTGCTGTTCACAAGTTTACTATGCCGTTGCTCGTGGCGCTAGGATCAACCGCAGCCCATAGTTGTTTCACTGGGCCTGAAGCGCCCCCGGAGCAACTGAAGGTCCTCACGCAGCGCTGCAGGAGGGGCCCCCTTAGTTTCTGAGTGTCCTCACCGCCAAGCCCATGGAGGTTTAGGCCGACTTGCTTCCTGCCAGCCAGACCCGGAGCAAAGCGTTCCCTTCTTCACACTCTGCGAATGCATTAGAGGCCTTGGTTCAGTCCTCCGCCGGGCGCGTCAGCTGGAGACAGCAGCCTTGCGTGCCCTCCACACGGATGAGAACACCCAACGCCGCTCCCATCCGGCCCAGGACAAACTTGGAAATCCTCGGCTCCAGGCGTGCAGGGCAGCAGCAGAGCCAGAAGCCCCATCGCTCGTCCATCTCGCCAACACAGAGGTGTGTTTAGCAACTAACCCCATTTCTCAGATCAGGAACTAACTTGTTCAGCTGCACTTATTTCAAAGATTCGTAGTTCATTCTCTGTCCAGAAAGTTGTGCACGGTTACACTCCATGAAGAATCAAGACAAAATAATAAAACCGAACAAAAAGAGTTATCACCAAGGCCTCATCCTCACATCCTGCTAACTGCTGCACTAAGCGGACTTAAGGGATACGCCTCCCTGCCGCTGCCTCATCCCAGCCCACGGCAGAAACAGCTTAACTTGGTCTTTAAAGCGACGTTTCCTTCTTCTGAACTGGTCTTGCCCTACGAAGGAATGCCTTGCTGGCAGTGCTGGCCAGGGGCTGGGGTCTGCGCGGCGCCCACTGGCCCTTGGAGGCTGCTGCTGGCAGGCAGGCAGGCAGGCAAGCAGGCAGCCTGGTGACTAGGTGCTGGTCTCTGCGGCCACTCGGGTGGGCCGCAGGAGAAACAAACACCGGTTTCCAGAGGCGCCTGCCCGCGTAACACCCGACCGGCCCTTTGGAAAGCATCCAGGCATTTTGCAGACTGCTTCCATGGGTGCCCTCAGCGTTCTTCTGAAACAGCACCAGACCTGTTTGGTAAGTGTGGGTTTAGCGCTCTTCTGAAAGAGCACTAGAATTGTGCTTAAAAAACACGATTAGCACTCTCTGGAGAGAGACATCAGTTTAAACCGAGGGGCCAGGTTCTGCCTCGCTGCAGCTCCCCTGCTGCTTCTGCTGAGAAGGGAGCCGTGCGGCGTCCACTGTGCCTACTGCTGGGTGGGCGACAGCTTCGGTTTGCCTGCTCCTGCACCGCTGTGTCTCACTCGCAGGCGACGTCAGCTGCCGCTGGCCGCCAGCCACAGCCTTTTGTTGCCCGCAGTCATTCACCTGAGCACTTGTGGATTTCCAAGATTAATTGTACCTGTTTAAGAGACTTACAGTGGGGCAAAAAAGTATTTAGTCAGCCACCAATTGTGCAAGTTCTCCCACTTAAAAATATGAGAG